TAAACGAAGCCACGGATTGCATTTTCGCTAAGGGAAAAGTTACTTCAAATGACCCGTTCCGGGTGTTAACATAATTATGAGATATTTTTTTGACAAAAAATATGAGCTCTTTTTATATCGATTCAACAAATTTTGATTTTTGCACAAATTCTCTCGGTGATTCTATAGTAAACTAGACCCTCCAACATTTTTAAAAAATCATTAAAAAGGGTCTGAAAATTTTCGTGACCGACTGTACATGTGATTCATCTTGAGAGAATCAGTTTCCTTGAAAATTTTGGGTTAAGAAATATTCACAACTGTTTTGGAAATAACTTCCGTGTACGCAGTACATTACTGCAGATTTTGCTAAGTTTTCATAGATTGTTCTATCACAACGAAACCAATCTTTTCGAGCCGCAAAATAAAAAAAGGTAAAGGGTACACGATACACATTTGTGAAGCTAGAATACCAAATCACGCACGAGAGTACAATATAAACAAAACCATCGCACGAGGGGTTCAAAAATGAGAAATGACCATTTGAGAAACGCTTTTTCCAAAACTTTTACTTACCGAGCATACGTACACAGTGACTCACAGATACGAAACATATTAATAAATGAAACGTATCAAAGAGAATCAAGCGTGGACAGTTTCGTAAATATTTCACTGCGATCGTTTCTGTTTTCATTTCGAAAGCGACGCGTGCAGCGCAACAGATGTATCGATATCGTCGCCGTTGTTTTGTACAGTCCGAGTTCGACCCGGCGAAAGCGGAGACGCGTTCGAAGGGAGTTCCGTTGTTGTCTTCGCGACCAGCGAAAAGTCACGACGAGACAAAGGAGAGACAAAGGAGCCGAGTGAAGGAGCAAAGCCGATCCGGGACATGAGGTCGGCGTGTAAAGGAGGGATTTGCATAAAACGACAGGTTTCCTCCTTTCTGCGACAAAGGTGGTACAAATAGAATTGCACAGTCGGAGGAACTGGAGGGAACAGCACACTCCGATGGGACGGTCAAGAAGCACTAGAACACATGAAGCTCTGATCGGTGTCGGTCGTGGTCGTCGATGCCATTCGTTCGGAATTTCGGCCGTTCTCGTAATCCGCCGACTCTGAACTCTAATCTAGTCTAGATTATGGATACGATTACCAAGCAGCACGCCAGAGGGAATGCTCGAGAGTTCGCTTGCTCGTGAATAAACTGTATAACCGTGAACCAACCACCTCGTCGAGCAGTTAATATCGTGAGTTAGGTTACTTCGAGACAGAAACTTGAGTACAATGGGTTGAATTCAATTGTAGGAAGACTTAAGGTGTTATTCATTGGGGGCGTGTAAAATGTTTGAAACCTACTTTCTTTTCTTTTATTTTACAGCTTGCTGTACACTTTGTCGAGTTCGACTTGTAATGGAGATTTTAGTTAAGTGTAACTTGTTAAGTGTAAATGTTACACCGTTCATTTAAGTCGGAATAAAATTCTGTCTTCTGGTAAACAATATTTAAGCATTTAAGTAAATGCTGGCACACGGTAAGAATACGCTTTCTTTCTTTTGTGAAGAGATTAATAACGATCGAAAAAGTTTTATTTGCTTTAAGTGTAACGATAGTGATCCGTCATGGGGTTAAGCATATATGGTAAATGGTTAGTTTTCGATTTTAAGATTAATGTTCATTGAAGACGTGTAAATTGTTTGATACTGATTATTTAATTAATTTAAGCATTTATAGAGAATTTATAGAGTAAATGGTTGGTAAATAAATGGTAAATAAATGGTAAATAAATGGTAAATAAATGGTAAATAAATAGTAAATAAATGGTAAATAAATGGTAATAAATGGTAAATAAATGGTAAATAAATGGTAAATAAATGGTAAATAAATGGTAAATAAATGGTAAGTTTTCGATTTTAAGATTAATGTTCTATGAATTTATTACGATTACTTTATATATGAATTTATTACGATATTAGGTTATATTTATTACGACACGTGCAAACGTGTAAAGTAGAAAGAATATATACAGAAAAAGTGAATAATATTTTTCATTAATTTTATGCCAATGAATCTTCCAATCGTTGACAGTTTTCCATTTACTCCATTTTCTGTACGACGAACCGTGAAAACGTGAATTTGAATAAAGTTCCGTGGTTCGAGTATCGCGAAGCTGCGAATTAGGCTTTAAATGGAGCGGCAGAAAGAGAGCTTTTCACTGGGCCCGTTATAACAAATATCGAGCCGCATAAAAACGTTCATCTGCATAAACTTCCGCAGTCTGGCCTAGCCTCTGGCTCTCAACGAATCGCCGTAACTGCGGCGAGCTCTAACTGCGCGTAACTGCGGAGAAAGTGTTGACCAATGGCCGAGCATTTTCAGCCGACGTTTCACCGAAGTCCGAGCGGCGCGTTCAATTACAGGGCGGGAAATATGAGAGGCGACGGAATGAAGTGGAAGAAGAAAGACACGGAGGGCGACGCGCCGTCGGTTCAAAGTAAGCCAGAAATGGTTTCCAATTAAAAGCACGCCGAGAGCTACCGGCCGGCTTCGCGAGGAATTGGACTTTTCTTGTGCGTGAGAATAGGAAAAGCTGCGAGTCTCGGTCGATAAGCGAGTTACTTTATTTGCTTACCACATTTGAAACGAATTATTTCTTTTCGCAATGCAGGTGCATAAATCGAAGCTCGTTAGAATCTATACGATCTAAAACACGCGCCAGCTCTTTGCGAATGGCTCGCCAATGATAATGCTTCGTCCACGAAAATAATACGCAGATCGAAGGGCGACGCGCCGTCGGTTCAAATTAGGCCAGAAATGGTTTCTAATTAAAAGCACGCCGAGAGCTACCGGCCGACTTCGCGGGGAATTGGACTTTTCTTGTACGCGAGAGTAGGAAAAGCTGCGAGTCTAGGTCGATTACCATATTTGAAACGAATTATTTCTTTTCGCAATGCAGGTGCATAAATCGAAGCTCGTTAGAATCTATACGATCTAAAACACGCGCCAGCTCTTTGCGAATGGCTCGCCAATGACAATGCTTCGCCCACGAAAATAATAAATAATAAACGACAGATCGAAATACGCGTTTCTTAACACGACGTTGCACGTTCGCAACGTTGCAGCAAGACCGACGCGATCGAGTTGACGCATAGGGTATAATTACCGGCTCCACAGAGCCATGAAACGGCCGCGGTATTTCTTCTTCCGAAACAAAAGCGCCCGAAGGGGTAACTTATTGACCGATCCCTGCGCAATCGTTCGGTCAAGTTGGACCGAACGTTCCCGAGGGGAAAGAAATCGGTTCGGAAACGGCGCGAAAAAAACGAAGCTAATTGAACGTGAAATCGGCGCCCTCCCTCGCAGGGAGGGCTCGGGAAAGGGGAAAGAGACTCGACGGAGATTCCAGTTTCACTTTCACGGAATTACGGCCCGTCCTGGACGACAAAGAGCGAGCACTTAATGGGGAAACTTTATTCCCAAAAGTTCAGCGTCGTTGATCCCGGCGCTCTTTCGGCCGCGACGTTAACGAATCCGTTGGCACGTGAATTAACGAGAAGCCGGCGGCGGATTCCCAGTCGCATAACAGGTGTACCCGGCCTGGGTACGGTTAATCCAGCCAAGTATGGAAATCAGGGAACGCGTCGAGGACTCCTTGGCTCTCCCGTAAAATGTTATCTCGGTGTATCGCGGCCGCCGATCTGCGAAATTATTTCCCCGACACGTAAAGACTCTATTCCCGATCGATGCGGGACACCGGCGAGCATTTCGAAGCTTTCGTCGCGACCGAACTCTAAAAACCGAATAGAAAAGTTGCGGACGTTAACGCGTTAACTGGCGGCTATAAAAATTCTGCCCAATCGAAGCCGGACGAAAACTTTTATCGGATGCTTTGAGGCTCGAGGACAAACATTTCGCGAAATTGAGATTTATTAAATGCACCGGGTGCTCGTTTGTCTCGAACAGCTCAGATCTGCCTGTTGGACGAATGAACTTTTTTACGTCAAATTTCACGTAAGTTCATTTTCCGCGTGCGAATAGCTTCGCAAGGATTATTCGAAGTGAGACTGGATTCGATGTGCATAGTGCACTTTAAGACGGCTTGAGAAATTGTGTAAATTGCGGTAGGAAAGGTTACTGCATTTGCGATAAATGTTATTTATTTGTACCATGTATTCGACACCATTTTCTCTCATTTTCATCTTAAAATATTTTATCAATCTTTTGCTTAACCCTGTGCCAGATTTGCAACCTTATTACCATTAAGTATTTTTAGAACGGTGTACTTTTACAACTTCAAGTGTTCATCGTTTGCTTTTGCATCGTTTGCTGTGAATTTTTTCGGGTCGAACGGTGAAGAAGGATAAAGAATTTTGGATGGAACCATAATGCTTTTGTCCCGAAGTACGGTGACATTTATTGAAACGAACTCGGAGTTCTTTAAACGAGGATATTCACCGTCGCGAAATGTCACGAATTATGTTGTAACGGATTACTGTGGAACTAAGTAAGTAAGTAAGTAAGTAAGTAAGTAAGTATGAATGGTTGGCGAACGGCTATACAAGTCCATAGTCGTGAAAAGGGTCAGAAGTTGAGCAATTTATCTTTCTTAAAGGGCGCGGAGAGATTAAGGGAATTTGCGCGGAGGGTGATAGAGCGGAAGAATTCGGGCAAATTGAACGCAAGAATTCGTCGGCGGGTACGTGGCCGCGTTATTCAAAGGGCGTCGCTCGGTTAATTAACTCGGCATCGAGGTTTCCCTTGCGCGGGCGACGAAAGCACGCGGCGGAAGAACGCATCCGGCGACGACCACGACCAAAACGACGTCGATGACGACAGTTAAACATGGAGGAGGACGACGACGATCAATCAGGGGAATGACACCGTCGCCACGCTTGTTCATTTCCGCGAGTATGGACGGGTCACACGGCCGATGCACATACGTGCAGGTATGCGCACCTCTGTAATAGAATTATAGGCACACTCGCGGGTCTTATAGAGAGATCGATGGACTATTGTTTACGTACCAGCTCGGAGACCAATGGCACCGACTTTCGGCGCGGCCTTATGTCCGGCATGCTGTCGATATTGCTGTAGAAAGGATTGTCTCCAGGATGCCTGAAAAAATATATCAGAACAGATCAATGATCGAGTTTTCGCTGAGAAATCCTGCGAATGTAAACCGATGCGAAGCGGTGATTAATCCGTTGATTAGTTGGGCCGATGCCTTTTAGTAACGCGCGTTCACGCGAACGCTTTTATTAAGACAACAAATCGAAGTCCGCGTGTTTGCAATTTCTTTACAATTTTGGGTCTAGTTTCTCTTTATGTCTCAATGAAAATATAGGCTGCTTAATTCGTGGGAACATTAGTTACAAGTAGATTTCCAAGCGTTAAATTCGTGGCTAAATAAATTGGTTATGTATAAGACTGTAATGATAAAATTGATTTATTCAATATTTATTTTTCATAATGTTCCGCGCGCGCGCGGTTTGGTTATAAAACGAATGCGAAAAATCGAGATAATGTTCAGAATTTCAATAATGTCACCAATCATTACTACATTGTCGCAAACAGTAATGGGGCCTTTAAAAGACAATAGAATTTTACTCACGATATAATTTATACGGAAATTTTGCGGATAAGGACTTTGACATAAGGAAATAATAATTAAAAAATTGTTCCGGTAGACTTCGTAAGAGAAACAAAAACTTCCTGGTTAATTAGGAAATAATAAAAAATTAATTAGAAAATACAGTGATTTGCTTAAATAAAGTTACCTATGTACATTCTTATTAATAATAAGGTATATCATTTTCATAAAAACCTCAAATGCAGCATTGCAGTACCAATTAAAGAAATTTTGTTCGAGAAATGTGAAATAAAATGTCGGATCTTCTAGTAACAATTTATATTGCATTAAACATGGAACGATCGATATTCAAATGTTTTTATCTAACAATAGCGAGCCATTAACGAAAACATATCACTCGTTTTACACGACTACGGAAACTCCGTGGAGAAAGTACCAAGGACGAAAATGATTCTATATAATTTCCGATCCGCGCTTATGTAAAATAGAAGGTAATCTCATAAAACCACGGAGCCCCTAATCATCGGTTGGCCGGCGAATTTATAGAGACTTCGACCGCGCCGCGATCGCGTGTCAAAGGGAATCTGATCTGAGCTATGAATCTTTTCTAAGCTAGGTTCGAGCCTGAATCGATACTAGATTGAAAGTAATCGAACTTTCGAACGAAATGGGTAACTACGGCTTTGACGAAGATCTCGTCGAGCTGCTTAGCCCTCGAGGAGTTTTGAGGTACCTTAATTCGAACCTTGACCCATCTAACTTCATTATCATCGTAATATGCTCTCAGATTGCTTTTCGAGATTAGGCGAAATTCACCATCCTCGGCGAGTTACGAGGACAGTTAAAAAGTTTCCAGCTTCTACAAGCTTAATCGTTGCGAACACGATTAACATAAGCGTCTAATTTGAAAACATCAGAATTAGAATCGACGTAGCAATTGCGAAATAATGGTCATTCAAAATGATACTGCACTTTTAGAGAAACATTATAAATTCTTCAAGAAAATGTAATAAATGGATTTATTTTGTTATATAATATATAAATATGTTATTATATGTTATATATAAATTATATATATATATATATATACATATAAATGTTATATATAAATAATACATATACATATAAATGTTATATATAAATATAAGTTATTATATGTTATTGTTATATAATATATAATTATATAATAACAGATGTTATTTTGTATATGAGAGAGATTTCACTTACGTTTTAAGCGTATGATTTTGTATGTAATCAGGATCGAGTTGATCTATAGACGGACGAGTGGTATATGGCGAGTTATGGCCAGACAAGACTGACAGGCGCATAGGCGGATCAGTGGAACAGGTTACTCTATAGTCGAACAAGTGGAGCAGGTCGGTTTATGGTCAGGCAAACGGGATAGGGACGACCTACTGCCAAACAAGCGGAATGAGGACAGCCTATGGTCAGACGAGTGGAATTGCGTGGTGTTTGGCCGAACAAGTGGAATGATACGGTTCATGGTCGCACGAGTGAAACGGTAATGGCCTAAAATTGATCAGTGAACGATCGAAAACTCTTCAACGTTGCTGGTTGAAGACCAGAAATGAAGATGTGAAAGTTTAACTTCGAAGTACAGTAATGTCTCTCTAATTGACGCTCAGATTGTCCACAAAAATGGACAATTTGGGGAGAGGGGATACCATCAGTTGAATCTTGCGGCTCGTTTTTATAGTTACCGGTTGTCAACGAGCCAAAAGGCTCGAACAATCGTGCTTCCTCTTTCCAAATTTCCCATTTTTGTTTCGAAGCTGAGCGTTAATTAGAGAGAATTTACTGTACGGTAATGTCTCCTTAATTGACGCTCAGATTGTGCACAAAAGTGGACGATTTGGGAAGAGGAGATACGATTATTCGAGCCTTATAGTTATTAACAATTCGAAAACTATAAAAATGAACCGCAAGGCTCGAATAATCCTATCTCCTCTTCCCAAATTGTCCATTTTTCTGCACGATCTGAGCGCCAATTAGGGAGACATTACTGTAATATTTATCGCTTACCGAGAACAACGATCCAATCCACTTTGAGAGAGCATCATCTTTAATTGCGCCAACTTGCCGCGCCGATCTGCCAATTAATGTCGGACAAGCAAAACTTCGCGTAGTATGACGCAATGTAATCCATCATTCGGAATTGCTTCGGCCCATTATCGCGCCTCCCCATCTTTTATAATTTGTTTACCCGTGGAAGACCATCGCGTGAACACGATAATGTGCATTTATTAGTTCACGCGAGACTCGGTTTCATGAAAGTCTAGAGGCTATGTATAGTGAAAAGCAAAAAATTAAACAATGAAATTGTTTTTCCAGAAATTTATTTATTAAAATAAGACTCTTTATTTATAATATATAAGAAATTATTTATAAAAATAGTAATATAAATTATTATATAATAATATAAATTATTATATAATAATATAAATAATATATATAATAATATATAATAATTTATTTATTAAAATAAAAATGTTTTCCTATAAAGAAGTACCGCATTGACGTAATGTGTACTGTTTATGGCTTTGTTACACGAGGAGACATGCTACGAACAGTAACTTAATATATTTAGAGATGTTAATAATTTATCGTTCGAAAGTAGCAGAAAAATGTGTGCAAATTTAGTGTGTCGTTAATTAATCGTTGACACTAATCATTAAAGTAAAATATTATGTAAACGATAGTTAGTAAATACTAACGAGACTGTGGATCTTTATGCAAAATAAAAATGATCTGCACGAATAGCAAGGAATAAAAATTATAAATGCAAAATTTGTTCTTTCAATTACTTGAACATGTCGAAAATATAATATTTCAATGTGGTACTTGCAGATTCTTTTATTATTTCACCTATTTCGTATTCCACCCACGCGATTCTGCCACAAATGCATAAAATCCACGGTCTGATAATAAGAATAAAGAGAAACCGTTGGGATTTCGAGAACTGAATTCAAATATTAAAATGAATTTGTTCGAAAGAATAACATTATCCTTGTGCCGCGGTGCGAACGAATAAAATTTTAACAGACGGATTCTCTGTTATTTTTCTATAACGTGACGCTTGAAAATGTAGTTACTATGCAAATACGTTCGAAGCTACAAAATTTCCTCTGTTCTTGTATCTGTCACATATTATTCTGTGCATAAATAATATTTTTAAACGAACCTAGTTTTTCTGTGTAGGAGGTTACTATACAACCGAATCTTCTTGACACATGAAAGCACTTTTAATCATATTTTAACGAGGCCAAACAATAGACACTAATGAAACTATGTACCACAATTAATTGACTCTCGATTCTTCGATACAAATCGATAGCCCCCTGTTGGACGATTCCAAAAGCGCATGCAGAATTATTTCGCGCGCTTTTTCCGGCACCTGTTGCGTTTGACGTTTGTGTAATGTCAGTTGTGCTCGGTTTTATTAAAATTTGTGAGAAGTGTGTTTTGTCCGTACGTTCGGTTAGTCGCCTAACGTACATGCGCGACCGAACTATTGTACGCTCGATTCGCGCTTCCTACGGCAAATTAATGACGTGGAAGGGTCTCTAGTAGTCTTAGAGAACTTTATTTTTTGTGTTGCACTCTCTGCGAGCGCTGGTGGAAGAATGCTCTTCCAACGCTGGAAAGTCGTGGAAGAGCACCCGTGGATGGAGGTAGATTGTTTATTATTGGTCAAGGCACGAATCACCCCTTGGAGGGGGGTGTCTGCCTTGACCCTTGTTGGGGCCTGAGAGGGTTTCCCCAATGGTGGGACCTTTTTATGGCCCTTGTCTCTGGACGCAACAAATAGAACCTATTGAAGAGTTCCAGAACATTTTACATCCTCAGAATCTTATTATTTCGCTTGGAAAATGATTGGACTTCTTCGAAAATTAGTAGACCGCAGATTTTCCGCGTTCGCAGCGAAGAAAAATAGACGAAATACGAGACCACGAAGACGTCGCGCTACAATTTGAAGGAATAAAAAACCACCTTAAAATATGGCAATTCTTCCACAGTGACTAATAAGTTGATACCCCCGCGGCCGAATCACGTTATGCCTCGGGACAGCTGGAAGATGGTTGCAATTAGTGTTTTGTCCGTACGTTCGGTTAGTCGCCTAACGTACATGCGCGACCGAACTATTGTACGCTCGATTCGCGCTTCCTACGGCAAATTAATGACGTGGAAGGGTCTCTAGTAGTCTTAGAGAACTTTATTTTTTGTGTTGCACTCTCTGCGAGCGCTGGTGGAAGAATGCTCTTCCAACGCTGGAAAGTCGTGGAAGAGCACCCGTGGATGGAGGTAGATTGTTTATTATTGGTCAAGGCACGAATCACCCCTTGGAGGGGGGTGTCTGCCTTGACCCTTGTTGGGGCCTGAGAGGGTTTCCCCAATGGTGGGACCTTTTTATGGCCCTTGTCTCTGGACGCAACAAAGTGTAGTGTTTGTTAAGAAAGAAAATAGCAATTTTTTTTCAAGATACCGAGTCATCCGACTGCTGTGA